TACTCTCCCACAGGGCGGGACGGAGCAGACGACAGGATGGAGGGGCAGCCCCTGACGTCACGGTAGCCCCCTTACCCCTCTCCACGTAAACAACGGTCTAACCCCCTCCGGCGCCGGCATCCCTTTGGGCGCCATACGGGGGTTATATCTCTCTCTGGCCCCTTTTACCTTTGACCTCGGGGTTAATGACCTCCCTCCGGTCATGTCGTCTGCCTGCAGCCCGCTGGTACGTCACTGGCTGCCTCCTCTCGGTTCATCTCCTTTACTCCCCCCGTTCACTGCGACGGTCGTAAGGATAATTCTTACTAAAAGTGGCTCGATCGATCCAACCTTTTCATTCGATGGAGGCACGGACGATCTTAGGGATAGGAGAGCTCTGAGCGCGAAAAACTCCCGTCTCTATGAATGGAACGTGAAAGACCGTGGTGAAGACCGAGTGTGTCCCCAGAATATGTGACGGTAAAGTGGCGCTGGTGTGCGGGTCCCACGGGGCACCCACGTGAGCGGAACCGACGTTCTACTAGGAAGGACCACGGTGGGGAGAATGAATGAGAATGAGTCTACCTGGTGTTAAAAAAAAACACTGTGCAAAAAATTTTCTCAATGACAGTAAATTTCATCTGATCGACTTAAATTGTTTGCAGACAGCATGTAGGTAAAGGAAAGAATGTGGCAAATTTGAAAAAAAAACCAGAGGCATTGCATCACGATCGATCCCAGGTTAAATTCGATGGGTAAAGAAAGCGTTCCGTACAAGCCCATTGATGCTTTCGCCTCGGCCAGTGCAGCTAGCCTCCTTGGCCGTTCTGCGCGGACGGGCCGTCGCTGGCTGCAAGCATGAGGCGGATGCATCGGCGAGGGCGTCCGGTGGATCTTCTGAGGCTGCAGGTTTTATGACGGTGGAGCGCGTGGTTACATTGGGTCGATGTCCGTCGGATTTGGCGAAAACCTATTTAATTCATCCACGTGCAGTTTGTGAAATTGTTGCGTGTAGGGAATGCATGTTCCTCGCACGTGGCGAGGATTGTTGTGAGCGGAGGGTTCGGCACGGCAAACACAGCAAGTAAACCCCGTGGCGACTTACAAATAAAGGGTTGACTATCTATATAATTAACGATCCCGATAAGCCGATGAATTACAATTCACACGCACAATACACCTCACAAGGAAAAGAGCGGAGAATACCAAAGGGATAAGAACCTATTGTTTGATCCCTATACAATTCCCACTTCGGGTCTCCCGCTTCCTCCGCTCCCTCTCAGCCCACCCAGCACTGCCTCCGCTGCCTTCCAGGACCCTCCTCCTCCTCCTCCTCCTCCTCCTCTTCCCCAGTGGATGTTTTGCTTCCGCAGGAATGAGGGATGCGCGCGTATCCCACTCTTTCATAGGGTCCATCGAGCGGATCCTGACCCCATGGAACATTCCAGGGACGTGGGTCCTGTTGCAGGGGTATCGCGTCGCCTTGGGCCTATTGCAGTAACGGGGCTGCTGCTTACATCACAAGACATTGGGCCGATCGGATAAAATGCACCATCATTCCTATAAAAATACGAATTGGCACTGTTAATTTTTTTTAACTCCGTGAATCGGGCCGGAGCCGAATGCTTTTCCTGTTTTCCTGTCATTTCGTTTCTCTCTCTCACACTTGACTACTGTCATTTAACCGGGCCATCAGGCCCGGTTAAATGACAGTAGGAGAAGCTTTAGGAGAAGCGAAGGTTCGGTTTAGGAGAAGCGAAGCGTCTGCACTATCTACAGCTAGTGGAAGTAAATGAACCCGCAGAGCCTTAACCTACCCAACGAAACGAATTTCGGGCCACTGGAAAATCGTAATGCCGGGTCGCATCGATCGCTTCCCCCTTCCACGCCGAGGCATCCCCCTTCCACGCCGAGGCATCCCCCTCCTTTCGGCTGCGCTGCAGAACCGACACTCTGCCTTAATCAGCGAGGCAACTGCAGGAAGTGGAGCACCGACGAATCACTCCCATCAGTGCAATTCATGCCTCCTCTCGCTTCCTCCCCCCCCCCCCTTCCTCCCCCCACTTCCCTCCTTTCTCTTTAAGAGGGCTTCACTCCTTCCCTCTTGATGAATGCGAGAAACATTTATGCGCGCATGTTCAGAGAGAAAGAGAAGTCGGAGAGCTCCAAAAAGTGCGATCGGGCATCAAACGAAGCTCAATTCATCGCGCTTTCAAACAACAGAACGTGCCGAATTCCCGAAACTTTGCCAATTTGATTACATTTGCCAACCAGAGCGACACGCGCCCTCGACTCGCAAGTCTTTCGGCAGACGGTTTCAGTGTTTCTTTTTTCGTTCTTTGGACATGTCAGCGGCCAGAACGAAACGTCCGGTCGAACTTCTTAAAGACGAAGAGAGAGAGAGAGAAAGACGCTTGGACCATTTGATCGCCTGCCCCAAAATCCGCCGCACCACGACCTGCAATCCACCGGCTGAAAGGTGGGTCAACAACAAAAAATACTCAACGAAACCGGATGAAAGAGAACATTGCCCGATCATACCATCCTTCCAATTCCCCCCCCCCCCCTTCCATGGAGTTCCAAATGGAGGCAGTCGACTCCGAACGAAGGAATATCGCTGGATAGAATTATAGCTACAGTATATAAATAGCTTAATGAATTGCAGAGTCCCGATTCACGGGACGATACAGCAGATCGTTTCGGTCGTTGGAAGATTCCGGATCGGAGAATAAGGTTCGCTCGTCTCGGGAGTATTTCAACGTGCGATGTCGACCGTACGGACCGTAAATCTGGCCCCGTACTCACGCGCATCATTTAAAACGTATATGGCGTGAATGCGTCCGTGCGTGTTCGTGTCGTGCTTCGTCCACGTCCGTCGACTCTCTTCCGGACGAGTTTGGCTCGTGAATGGTGAAAGGTTCCGCGCTGATCGTATGCGAACGACTGTATCGTGTGCTTCCGCGTGGGGCGTGAATCGGGCGTGAATGCGAATCCGAATCGAGTTCGAAGGACGTTCGTTCCGCGGATTTCTCCGTTTTGGCGCGCTGCCGGAATTCCCCCGGGGAGAAATCCGCGGAAGGAATGGGAAGGCGACGCCGGATCAGCCGGGGATTTCCTCTCGTGAGCTGCCGACCGCGCGGGATTAAGGGATTAAGGGATTAAGGGGTCGTTCGGGTCGGCCGTTACGAGGGGACGGAACGGTAAAATCTCCGCCGGAAATGCGTTCTCGCAACGAAAGCTCCTCGTCTCGATTCGCCGTGCGGGAAATTCGGCCTGGAGACGAAATCTCCTCGCGCGGTCCCCCGAGCGTTCAAAACGATGGACCCGATGAATGTGAAATGAGAAACCGGCCGAAACGGGAGCTCGGAACACTCGAGACGCGCGGGGCATTCGCAGACGAAGGACGTGACGCGGCACACACGATCCGAGGACGTGCTTCCACACCCGGGCTTCCACAGCTGCGCTCCCACAGCTGCGCTTCCACGAAGGATGCTCGGAGGCGTAGTCCCTTGCTCCCCGATCGACGGCGCGAGACCGGGGAGAGACCGGGGGTAGACCGCGACGGGAAGGGAGAGAGGGAGTGCGCCCCGGGTCCATGGAGTCCATCTCGGCCTGCCTCGCTCGTCTCTCGTCCTCCCTTTGCTTCCGTCCGGAGGATCCCGTGCTCTTCTTCACTTCTCACGTGAGTTCCTCGTCGTCGGTCGGACGGTCTTACGAGCGACCTCATTCTTAGATCGAAAGCGTAAAATATGTTCGTTCCTGATGGTTCTATGAGAAATCGTGGAGTAGGTCTCTCTCATCGGGAGCAAGAGAATGTAAACTATGGGCTAAGAGGGGGGTGAAACAGTTACAATAAAGGGATACTTCAGTACTGATTTCATTTTAACATACGCGGAAAACTCTTCATTCTTGGGAGCATTTAGATGAGTCAGGGTCGCGAGTATCTAGAGCACATTCCGATTAAGTTCGGATTTTCAACCTGATCCCTTTTTTTTTTTTAACCGTGTTCCATAGAGAGGAGGGGGGAGGGTGTCGATGTGGTACTTGCTGTACCGCGAAATGGCCGCATTGTGTCTCATCGTCTCCTTCCTGATCGTGCTGGAAGACTGGCCGAAGCCCACGTGGACGAACCTGGCCTTCTGGACGGACGCGGCCGTCTGCCTGGACGCGTGGATTCAGTTTCTCTTGGCCTGGTGGGGCAAGAGGCGCGGTCTTCTCGTCGCAGGTATGCGGTCCATCACCGCGGAGTCCATGGGAGTCCATCACCGCGGAGTCCATGGGAGTCCATCCCCGGGAGTCCATGGGAGTCCATCTCCGAGGGAGGGCGCCTCCCTCGGGGATGGACTCCGCGGTGATGGACGCCCGGTTGATTGTGCAGGGGCGGGGGAGGCGGGGGCGCTGACGCATCTCTGTGCCGTTTCGTGGTGGATGACGAACGTGGCTCGATGCGGTCATCTCCTCGCTGTGCTTCTCTACGTCTTTCGGGGAACTCATAACTACATCTGTGAGTTTTACGGGAAGATATACGTTCGTTGCGGGATGGGGGCGGGGGGGGGGGTTGAGAATTGGTTGAGCTGGAGTTGTCCTAGAAAATACGGATTTTGACAATTTGTTCTCTGAATTTGCAGTTCCAAAGCATGAGCGTTGGGATGAAACATAGAGTTAGCGCTTAAAAAAGGCTATGAGACTTCCTCATGTACATCTAATAGGTTTTACGTGCTGTATAGAATCTATATAGCACAGAAAGTTAAGGCTAATTCAGCAAATGCTATAATGATGTTGAACCATCGGGTACCTAAATAATCACGTGAGAGCCAGGCAGCAGGCATAGTGGACCTCTTTACAGTCTGCAGCATCAGTTAAAAGCAAGATGGCAGCGCAACTGAAGCCGATCACGTTGTAATGGAGAGTGATTATTTGGTGCCATTTGGTGAGGGAGTCAGGTCGAGATCCAGCAACGCCTCTGGCCTTGCAGTAAAGTGGCCATCGTCACGACGCGAAGGGAGATTTGTAGACATTCTGGTAACTTTTCGGCCGCATTTCAGGCTCTCGCAACTCAAGAAACTCAATTTTTACTTGTGAAAAGATTGCCATGCTCATGGGTGGGTCCCGACCTAAATATACTGGAATTCCACAGGTGATAAATTAACCTGGGAGATGAGACCGGCGAGCGACATCATCCTCTACGGAGTGCACGGCCTCTACTGCATCCTCGACACGCTGGTGGCGGCCCGACCGATGAGATTCCTCCACGTCACGGCCACCATCCGCTTCCTCGCCTCCTATTGGCTGCTCTGCTCCTTCAGGGCCTGGCACCTTCGCGAAGAGCTGCGTCTCATGGCCTGGGACCCGGAAAAGAAGAATCCCATGATGCTGGTCGTTCCGGTGACGGGCGCCGGCGCAGTGCAGCTGTTTCTCGTCTTCCTCTCTCAACTTCGACTCCTCGCGTGCAAGCCAGCCCCGTCCAAGGAAGAAGACGGCAACTCCGCGCGTCTCATGGAAACGGCGGCGTGACCACCGAGAGGATGGACGCGACGCAGACGGAGTCATTCCTTCCGACGACTCGAAGAAGTGAGGCCACGATCGCGACGGAACGATTGCATGACCGTTTTAAATCGCGAGTGGACGCTCGGTCGCCTTAAACAACGTCAAGTCATGTTCAATGACAAACAATCCATGGCCGATTTCGTCAGGTCTCCCTATATACGAAAGACGTTGCGTAAGACCTATTCGTCTCACCTCATCTCATCTCATCTCATCTCACCTCATCTCATCTCATCTCACCTCATCTCATCTCATCTCACCTCATCTCATCTCATCTCATCTCACCTCATCTCATCTCATCTCTCCTCATCTCACCGCATCACGTCGCGTTTAGTCCGTTGAATCAGGCGGGTTGAGGCGGACTCTCAACCCTCGGTCCTTCGCGACTTGGAAAACCCATTCCAATTGCGTCGATGAAGCTTCTTTTTTTGCAGCGCTTATTCTACTGCAGCATGTCCGCGTTCGCGAGCTTTCGGGAAAATTGTCCGCAAGGGACTTTTGGGATTCGAAAACCTGTGAATGCATTCAGAATATACAGCGTATGAAATACGTAGTGACTTGGCATTCCTATCGCAATTGCAAGGATTGCAATATTGCCTATGGCAAATCATGTCGTGCAAATGCAATTTCAATGCAGTGGAAATGGAAGGAATTAAAAATAAAATTGCAGGCATTCCTTAAGAATGCTCTGGACGCTGAATCACGAATTAAAACGCAGATGCTTCGTCAGGCAATCAAAAATCTTGCGAGTTCATGCGTGAGATGCAAGACATAATACTGTACGGTGTAACGGCTAAGAGTTGCAGTTTTTTATTACCGGAGTATTAGACAGAGATATTTATTCGGATGTTGCACTCTGTTAGTCGGTGCTTGAAATGCAAAGCGTAAATGGTTTTCAGAGTTTTGAAACATGTTTTAAAATGCGAGAACCGCTCTTTGAACAATGGAGAACGGCATTTCCACAATATTCCTACCTCAATTGCATGCCCGAGTGATATATGATAACATGTGCCATGATATATGATAAATGGTGCCACGAACTTATTGGTTGCTATTCTCTTAGCATTCTATGGAACTCCTCCGTAGATTGCAGGAGAATTAGAGATAGCGAGCCGCATAGAACCGACAGGAAGAGAGAAATAAGACGAACAGGCATTCAATCAAGACGAGAACACGAAGACATCGGTCTTCCTAGTAAAAGTCCACGTCTCTTCAACGACTGAAAAGCCGAGAGGAGAATCAGCTCCAATTTCTTCCCTTAGACAAGCAAATTATGGGGAATTCCATTCGCGGAGGAGAGAAATGAATCGGCAAAATTTCTGGTGGAAGAAAGGATCTCACGCAAAAATGCTTCTGAAAGGATTCGTATCCGAGTCTCCAGTATCCAGTCCTGTGAATTGTTCTTAGTGTAACTCAAAGGAATATGTACATGCTAACTGCATACAATGGTGGACTGTGGACAGTTTTAACAAATATGGAAAAAGCCCAAGTTCAAAATATTTACAGAGATACATTTAGGAAATTGCGTGAATGCCAAAAAAAATCCAGTTACAATAATAAATAAGTTTTAAAAATTAAACTCGGACCTCACAATTGCCCATACCGCCGTTGTTGTTCGGGGTAAAACAGAATGCGAAGTGATATCCACATGTGCATATCACGAAACTGCTACAATACGTTAGTCCGTGACGCATCTGAATTCTTGAATGGAACTAGCCAAACTTAAAAAAAATGAACTTCTGTTTCACAAAGCAAGAAGAAAGGATGTGAATTCTGAAGTGATATGAGTTCTGAAGTGACGTTAGTCCTGAGAGGAACTGTAAGTTCCAACGGAGTAAGCAATTCTGCTCTTCCGTTTGAGAAGTCCATTGCAATATGTATTAATATCCATATTGCAATAGCACAGAAATATATTGGACCGCGTAACCATTACATCAGAGGGAGGAGCAACATTAACCAGGTTTTTATGCATGTCTCTCGCAAAATGAGTAATACCAGTGGAGAATGATGAGGTACTCAAATTTTCCCTAAATTCTCTATTTTTCTTGCTGGTTTTAAGCGCTTTCTTAGTGTGACAGGTCTTGGAAATGAGTCATTTGTTTGAAAAGCCCGGAAAGAAGAAAATATCCCTTCTCCCCGCTATGGAACCCACAAGTAAGACTTTATTGAGAAAGTCTCTATTTCCTGGTTGTTAATTCAAATCTGAGTTTCTTTCCATATTAAAAAAAATATATATATGTTCACCAGCTGGGTATGTGCAAAACTGCAACTTCTGCTTCCCATGCCAATAAGTGTCCTTGCAATATGGATCCCAAAAGTTTAACCAACTGAGTACTTCATTTCTTACACCACTTCTATGTATAAGCCAAACATCGAAGATAAATGAAGATAAATGATAAATTCAGTGCATTTCCTGGAAAAAAAATATTTTGCCGGTCAAAGTGACATCAAGAGACTCCATGGAAGCTTGAGCGAGCAGCAGTACTTCGAACTGCATTTAACCGCATATGTCCGCATATAACGTTCAACATCTTTCCATTTGGCTGAAGTGAAATAAATTATTTTAACATGTCCTCCTGAATTAATACGCCCTGGGGGTGTAGAGTATACCTACAAAGTCGAATTGCTTCTGTTATCCACACCTAAATGCCTACTTGTTAACCTATTTTTAATATTTAACTTCCCGAGAATAGCGTTAGAATAAGCGTCAGTCACTCAGTCATACACAATCGTCTATATGCATATGATGAAGTCCTTTGAAAACTATTTTTCAATGGCCTTCCCTTACATCGACCCACCTCCCCCCCCCCTCAGTTCCTCAGGGGACTCATTAACGCTAGGCGTAGGCCTAACCAACACACTGCCTTCAGGTTGCGCCATGGCCTAACTTTTTTATTTCGATAAAAGCTCAATTCTCGACAATTAGACCCTTAGTTTAATGTTCGAGAGTTGAGTTTTTTGCGAGATTTGATGGTCAATCCGTGGTCTTGGAGACACCTTTTTAAGGACGTTAGGCCAATCGCAGGCATGTTCATACGTTCACGAAACGTTTCAGAGAGGACATGTAGCATTTGGCAGATTTGAGGCATGAACCATTTCATAGGGACATAGAACTTTAGGTTTTCCTTGAGTTCCTAGAACCATCTCGAATAGGTCTCAGGAGTGAGTGCCTCCACGAAGGATGGAATCTTTGGCGTACGCCATCCTGTTATTTCAGGGATATCCGGATAAGATATACCCACATCCCACAACATCTATCAATCTCTGCTAGCCACCGCTTCATTCTCAGCACATCTCATAAACTCAGCACAAAAATGTGTCCTACATTAAAAAGCCGACGTGATAGGCGCCGATACGAAGGTTGAAGTATTATAGAATCAGGCATAATTTCAGCACGATATACGGCAACAATGGGGGACGGTACCGGAGCCAGTAATCTAAGCCTAATTGAACGGCAGCTAATTTCACTTTTCATGGCGAAATGGTGCATCGCTAGCAACAAAATAGGAACTTTTCGTCATCTGCGAGTGAATGTCTTTCTTGTGGTTGGTCTCCTTCCTCCGATACCCCCCCAGAAGAACGTCCTTCCCACACCCAATCACCCTCCCGCCCTCCCCAATGGAGTTTCCTCTTTTTCCGACGTCACTCCATCCTAAGCCATGGGGCGCTTGGATGCAGAAAAGTCTAGGAACATTTCGTCTCACTAAATCATTAATTCATCGATCGATGGCAGTTCCATCGCACCAACGAAAAAGAGAGCCTAATGCTTAAACATACTCTATATTGATGAATCCAGATCAAAAGCACTTTGATGGTAGAAATAATGCATGGTTCTCCTTGACTGCTGTTTTGTTTCGCATGGCAGCAGCATGACGAAGGAAACGGATTTTTTCCCCCAACTTTTCAGTCGCTGCAAGAAATCTTTAGGAAATATTGCAGAATGTTTGTAATATTTAATTGGAGAGTAAGAGGAAACCTCTGGCAAGAGCAATTTAGTAAATTTTATGCAGAATTATTGAGCCAGAGATACTCACTAACGTTCCTTGGTCTTATCTTGGTTTTCCGCCTGACCTCGTGCAAAGGAACGACGACATTGCGAATCTTTGATAGGAGAGGCTCTCTATACCACCTGCTGACCTCGAAACCATTCCCCAGGACAGCGAAAACCGGGTTACGATCCTTACCAGATCGAATAGCGACACCATTAATTTGGGATGAGCACCTTTTAAAAATGTTTGGCATGCAAAATGTCCTCGCACTGCAACACTAATATCTTCTTTAAGTGGCACAAGTAAGAACTGTATATTACTTCCAATTCCCATTTCATCTCAGCTTCCCTTTTCAATTGTCAATGGCCAAGAGTTCCAAGAGTAACAAATCAATAATCGAAATGACCTGGCTCGTCAATATTGTCACGTGCTTTTCAATGTAGTGGCGCGGAAATAATTTTTCGAAGACCTTCCCTTTATTCCATCCCAACCCCAACCTTCAACCTCAACTGCACCCTCCCCCCCACCTCTAAGTCACTAAAGTTTGACCTAGATCAACCGTTTTCGTTCCAAAGAAACTCTATCCCCAACTTACAGAGTCAATTAGACTTCAATAATTAATCCCTGATATGCGAGATATCTCGTCGAGAACGTGAAATGCTAGGCCATTTGAAGGCATATTCAGTTACTCATGGCCCCTTTAAGTGTGTACCTGTAACGTTAGCCGGATTACAAGTACATTTCGAGCTTCATGAACCATTTTAGAGCGGATGTAGAACGTTGGGCCTAACTGGAGTTCATCGAGCCGTCTCGACGAGTTCTCAGGATATCCTCTAGGATGCATGGAATACGACGCGGGCGCCATCCTGTTAACTTAGAGATGTCCGAAGGAGATGTCTCCGCATCTCACAAAATCGATCGACTACAGCCAGCCAATATTTTAATCAAAGCTCATCGAACGAGCTCGGCACAAAGTATTAGGAAACATAAGATCCAGACACCGATACTAAGGCCGAAGAATTCATGAATCTCGTATAAGTCCGCCACGACATCCTGCAACACTGGAGGATCGGACAGGAACCATCACGCTGAGCCTAAATGAACGACAACTAATTGACGCAATCGACTCAAATGCAATAAATATGAAGGATGGTGGGAAGGAAGTAGTGAGGAAAACATGACTCAAAGACATTCCACTACCTTCCTTTCCTCACCCCCTTCTTTCCCCCTACCCTCCACTCTCCCCTATCCTCCCAAACAACAGCCTCCTCCACTCACCCCTCTCACAACTAACCTCGGATTGAGAGAAATCGATATGCATCCATCTTGGGATTTTCTCGGTGAGGACGGGTAAAATTAGGCCCATCTTGAGTTTCTATGGCCAACCTGACTCTGACGTCTATGGACAAACATCGGGAAGCGAAGAAAAAGATGGACGCCATCTCGATCATTCAGATATGTCCGTGCACTATATCTCCCTTTTTCACTGCATCGATCGGCCACCCCACTCCACTCTAAATGTTCTTTGATTAGAATATTCGGCTATTTAATTTAGAAAAAACCTCTCTATTTGATGGCATTTTCCTCCTTTGACGGAAATATTTCTCATGAAATAAGCCCAACGGAATGGCCACCACGCCATCATACTGCATTTGCGAGTGCTGCAGCTGAGCAACTGCACTTCTTTCCGAAATGTTACCATTTCAACCTTGAAATAACGAGGATTCGACATGTTCCCCGCAAAACAGTTTCATAACCAACACTCCATACGAGGACAACACCATTAACACACTGGTAGCACAGAAAGTTTCCACAAGGTGCTGCAACACTCAGGAATGTTTTCACTTGCAGAGTTCGTCAGGTCACTTGAGGAACGCCAATATATATATTAGGGAAAATTTTCCCAAAAGGACGTTGAATTCAAGTATGACAAGTTTTTCTTTGATGCGTGCATTCACTCCGTCGTCGTTCTAGTTGTGCCCCCAAATAGCCCTCCAATAAAACTAGAACGTCGATGAAAGCCTAATGTAAGAATTAGGTACCCCTGGTGCTACCCACGAAAAATATCAAAGGTAAAGCAGTTATTTGACAATCAAAGGAGGGAGTTGCCTGACCTCCATATACAGTTACATAAAATATATGCGCCAAAATACATAAAAACCCACTTCAAATAAACAGAATTGAATGCAACCAGCAGTTCATGAAACGCAAACATTTTTACATTGCCTCACTGTTTCCTTCACCAACGAGGCATCTTTAGGGGAGGAAGTGGAAGGGACAGAAAGGAATGTTACAGGCTTCGAAGGTCTTTTCGGTTTCGTTAAAACCAACAAAACAATAGGCCAGGTCCTTTCTCCCTGTTGGATTGCGACAGAAGTTGTGATTCTCACTCCTCACGTCTTCTGGGAACCTCGGCCAAAATTGTTCCAGTAATCCGGAGTCGTTCCAAGGCAGACATGTACGTCCGGACATCGTCACGTCGAGAGTCCCTGCATATTCCTCTCCCTTGTGCGTCCATTTGCATTCCGTCTTTTCTAGTGGAGGGATAAATTAAAACACGCAAACCTTCATCTTCCCGAGAAAAAGAGAAGGATTGTCACCATGTGAGCCAGGGATTACATGCGGACCAATTGAAAACACCATTGGACTCATTGAAATATATATCTTCTAGTAATTGATTCAATATGAGACGTATTATCGTATAAGGCTTGTCGAATTTGATGGAGCATGCAGTTTTTCTTCACGAGTAAAAAGCGTCAATGACTTGATAGGATTCGGAAGAAAAAACAATCGTTCCTTAGGTTTAATGGAATTACTCACATTTTCATGATATCGCCAATATATTAGCCAAAGGTTAAAAAAACAAGCATCCAAGGCCACAATGCACTTCATAATGAATTTAATTACAGAATGCCTGGAATCGGCGACTGCTAAACTGGGCACCATCTTTAGTAATATTTCTATCTCCAAGTCAAAGCTACACCTGAGTCGTTTTTGGCTGTTTCAAGAAGCGACTGATATGGTATTAATTTGCCCTCAGCAAGCTTTCTTGGACTATAACGATGTCTACTTTGAGTGTTGCGTCTTTTCAAATTCGAGCATGTCGCATTTCGAACCAGGTAGAACATTATTTCGTGGATCGGAATGAGCTCACTGGGGTAGTTGGGGCAGAGGGGGATATCGCAGAAATCCCATTTCATGTCTGGATCGGCGACGAAGCACCAGGGTTGATTCTTCAATGTCGGGTTCCTGCAGAAATCTTGATGCGATGCGGCATTGCCAAATCGGAAATGATTATCGTAGGATAATTTCGGATCGAAATCCTCAAGCTTTCCATAGGGCTGAGAGTCCCATCGGAGGCAGGGCAGTCCAGTCATCGTCTCCCTAGTCGTCCCCACGTATTCCTTCCCCATCTTGGTCTGCAAACATTCCGGGTATCCTTGCGCCGGTTTACCTGTCACATTTTAGGCGTGAAAGTCTTTGAATCACCTGAAACGTCGATATTGCCTGCCTCCAGTGCTTGAAAATTTTAAGAGGACTGGTTTCCAAAATCTTTGAAAGTAATATTTTCCATTATTCAGTCTTTGGCAGCTTTGTGGGATAATATATATTAGCGCATCTGAATTCTTCACTATTGAAAGCCACAAATGAGAAAAACATATGAAAACAAGCATGCAGCAATCTGAAAGCATACCTTCTAGAGCGGAACGCTCATACACTTCATAGCAGAATGGGACATTGCACTGACTCCGTCCATTCAAAGTTTCTTCATCTTCTGTGAAGCACCAGAGATTTTCATCGTTAGGGTCAGGATTGCGACAGTAGTTGAAGCTATAGTCTATGCTTTCGTCAGCGAATGCGAGGAAGTTCAGGAGTTGAAATCGCGTGGCGTTGGACGTCAACCAGGGCTGACACTTCCTGCCAGCTGCATCCACGTTCTTGAACCCTGCATACTCCCATCCCTCTTCAGTCAATCTGCATTCCACGGGTTCTGAGGGTCAACAGAACAAGGAATCGTTCCACAGTTAGAGGAATCGGTATTGGATATGATCCATAACTGGAAACATGGGAATGTCTGAGGATGAGCGAAATGTGAGATAGAAAACGATTTATTAATCATGGAAACCCAAATATGTGCATGGATCCCGTCGTTTTGCCAATGTTTAAAAATTTGATTTTTTTTTTAAGTATTGAGATCACTCTTTTCTAATTCATTGCATCTTGACTTGCGATTCTGCCCGTCGAATCATTGTCCCCTGCGTTTTCGAAGCACTTTAAGGTTCATTGTTCAGGGTTCGGGTTGGGAAGTCAAGAGGCAGTTCTGTCCATTATGGCAATTTGTGTCATGGTCGAACGTTCATGATTCATCAGATAGTCTCAGCCCTCCTCAATATCGATATTTTGTGGAAGCGTATCCACGCAATGAGAAGGCGCGTATGTCACTCTTCTCTTTTTGGCTTCATTCACGATGTTATCCAACTTACTCTTAATGATTATCTCGGAATGGGCACCATCACTTGAATAATAAATTACATTTACTGATTCTCATTTAAAGAAATCACGTCGCAATGTCAGCTTGATCTTGCATTTACGGAACTTAACCGTTATGCTCAAGGATTGCACATTTGTGAGAAAGGGTTTAATTGGGGAATACAAATGATTACAAACCATTGCGGCAATCGACTAATTCAAATCACATTGAGGTAATCGAAGGATTCACCAGTGCTGAGCAAGAAAATAGCAAAAACAAAATGAGTGTATCTAAGGAACGGAGCGAGATTAGCGCTTGTAATTAAATGTGCGAACTGGACACTTTGGTTCCTTATGAGAAAGACTGACGGGGGGTCGGATGAATTGGGAAGAAGAAGAAACATGACGGAAGACAAAGGGAGTGGAGGAGGGGGTGTTTTTGTAAGAATGTCAATTGATCGTTCACCACGCCGCCAATTTTAAACGTTTCGAGCCATACGCCGTCGACTTCGAACAGCCAACGTGCTTAGCAGCAGCAGTTAAAAAATGTTTTGGACCAAGCTCATGGGTACAGAGGGAAACAATTTCCAATCTTCATCGCTTCATCGTTAACACCATGATTATCGAATAAATTATTCTTGATTTCTCAGAAAAATGATTTCAATCAAAAAGTGAAGCCGGAACTTTATGGATGAGCAGGACCCAGCGTGTTTTGTTCACACAATTAACCACATCCGCAAATCTCGTTCCGTTCCTCAGACAGGGCCGTTCGGTTTTTACTTCTACACGTTGTTGCTCGTCAAAAAACTGTGAGGTACCAGAAACTTACAGTATCAGTAACATTAATTTCAAGCGGAGTGGGAAAATACTCTAGGCACATAATTAGACATCCTATGCAATGCTCTCTCTCTAGCATAGTATCCTCGGAGACCAAAGGATCGCAGACCTTTGTGGCCTGGGCAGAATGGGATGTTGCAGAATTCCCAATCGTAGCCGATGTTAACGAAGCACCATGGCTGCTCGGCCGACGTTGGATTCCGGCAATAATTGAGGTCCTGCTTTGAAATGAATTCGTAGATGTACTCTCTATTCAAGACACTCTCGGTTTCGTCGCCCGGCAAGTGCTCCTTGAGAATATCACGAATATTTAAATGGTGTGGAATCTCTTTCCAGGCAAAGCATTCATACCCATCTTGTGTTATGCTCTGGGTACCTCTGTACTCCTTCCCCATTGTCGTCATTCGGCATTCCGGATATATCTGCAATGCCTCAACTCCAACTGCAATGGAAGCAAAAGCACATCCATGGATGTTAAGGAATCAGTTTACGCAATTTCAGCGTTCTATTCGACAGATTGGCTACTGCATCATGATAAATTACAATTTCTTCTGAAGCGCTATGCTTTCTTTTGCATATATTATAAATTGAACCTTCGGTTGAAAAGTTTTCCGCTTGCCGCACTTCGGTTTGAACTTGGTGTGAGAATACTGCATTGTATTTTCCAACTAGGAATCCATGCCGAAGGATGAGTTTTGGATCCAAGTAAAACTTCATACCGTTCTTACACGAACCACAGCAGGGATGTTTAAGGCACTGACCATTTTACAATTTTTGGCGGCTTGGCGACATCTTAAAACGAAATGCAGTATATTTGAGCGTCTCCAGTTTGAGACGGCCGAGTTTTGTGACACCTGAAAGAGAAGTAGTCCTATGATGGTATCATCATATGGTATTTAAGCTCACTCGACTTACGTGTGGTCTCTGTCTCAGATGCCATCTCCATTTCTTCTCGAAAACATAAACGCACATGGCAGGCCTCCGGAATCACAGACAAATAAGTATTGTCCAACATATTGTTCCATTCAATAAAGCACCATGGACCTGAAGAATCCTTTGAAGGGCTACGGCAGTAGTTATGGTCAACAATGAGGCCACCAGGCAATGAATATTTTTCCCGTGAAAATCTATATTGTTCAGAATTCTGGAATATTTGGCTTCCCCTATTCCATGGAAGGCACGTTGCGCCAAAAATGGTCCAGTTCTTTGCGCCATTGTAGTCAATTCCCGATGAAGTCGTTTTGCATTCTTTGGGTCCTGGAAGAGCAATCGGATAATGGGACTTGCTGAATCGGAAATGAAATATTCTATATGTGTGATCTCAGAACAAAAACTATAATTTCCTCTGACGTAGTAGAGCGCACAAATTGAACGCATACAGTAGAATAATTTAAGTATCCGACAAATTGAAAAGGGATCGTAAATTGGGAATGGAGCACAAGTTTTTTTTTTCTATAGAATGTTAATTACTTTTATCTGTGCGTGAATATAAGTCACTTTCAGGTAGGCACTCACTTTGATCGTCACAAAGGGGAATCCGACAATCCTCCCACAACAACACATCACTATCATTGACGAAGCACCCGGGCATCTTGTGGAAATCCGGGTTCCGACAGAAGTTCATTTCGGTGGGTATACCACCAAAGAAATTGGACATCTGGCCATCTTTTTCTATGTACGGTTTCACCTCAGCGGAATTCCAAGTTAGGCATCGTTTCCCTGTCTTTGTCACATTCACCGTCCCCATGTATTCTATCCCGGTGTCCGTCAGTCGGCATTCGGGATGAACTAGCTCATGAAAAGATAAACATCGACGTTCGCAAAGATCTATGCGTTTTCAACTTCACAATTAAAGAAGTCATGTCGCAACGTCATTCCGACTTTAAATAGACGCATCTTAACCGTTTTGCTCAACAATTACACGATTGCGGAAAGGGATTCAAAGGGGAATTCCAAACGATTTAAAACTATTGCACAAAATGACTCATTCAAAGCTCAAATAAGTATTCAGATTATTCAAGATATGGCTCGCCACCAGTGTGACATATGAGGAAGTTACAGTTCCTTGTATCAGGACCATGACTTTCGAGCAGTGTGAGGGAGTATTCCAGGTAGATAATGAGACATCCCATGTGATACTCTCTCTCTAGCAGAGGGTGATCAAAAGCTTCCGAACGTTGTTTTAAAATCAATTTTTTCACATTTACTTGATTGAATGCGTGTGGTACAATATGATATATGCTGTAGAAATGAAGATTGAAACTGTCTGCTTAATTTAGAAACGATATGTCTAGACCGGATCCACGAACTCCAGGCCACTACAGCCCCAGCTGCATGCATTGGGGTTGCTTCTCACGGACGGGGCTTGGGCCAATTGTGCAATTCCATGGCTCAGTTACGGAAGCCACACATAACGAGACATTGCGCAGATATGGCATGCCCACAATGCATGATAAGTTTCCTCGTGGCAATGGCTGGCTGCAAGAGGACAATGCAGCACCGCACAAATCAAAGTTTGTTGCTACATTTAGTGGAAGCAAGGAGCTACGGGTGCTGCCTTGGGCCGCAGAAACTCCGGATCTCAATCCATTTGAGAATCTGTGGGCAGAGGCTAAGCGAAGTATTCGCAAACAAAAGAAAAACCCCACACACTTAGCTCAACTTGACAAGTGTGCCGAAGGTGTGTGTGGAAACAATCCCAGCAACCACAATTAAGAATTTGGCCGACAGCATGCCGGACCGAATTCAGATGGTGATTGCGGCAAATGGAGGTAGGCACAAAGCTGTTACCCACCTAATTAACGTTACTAAAGCTGAGAGGGACAAGACCTTCGAAAGAGAGTGTGAGGATGAAATGGAGTCTGTACAAGCTAACAAAAGGACCGATCAAAGAATCGCAAAACTTCTACGTAGAAGTAAGAAATACTCTGGGAGAGATCAAGCCAGGAAAGTCACCAGGCATGAACAACATCTCCAATGAATTCCTGAAGCACCTGGGAACGAAGAGCACCCACAGGCTTTCCGTCTTCATATCACAAATAGTGCTGGAGAAGAGAATGGTTACGGCCTGGTACAGCACTAAGATCATTGCACTGCTAAAGCCAGCAAGAATCAATTCTCGCAGCTAGCTACCGCCCAATATCCCTTCTGAGCTTCAGCTACAAGTTCCTGGAGCGCCTGATCCTGCAGAGGATTAAACCTACCGTGGAAGCCTTTCTGAATGGAAATATAGCTGGTTTTAAACCGAGCCGCAGCCCAGGTGACCAAGTGCTTGCCTTCACAATCATCATAGAAAATGGCTTCCAAGAGAGATAGAAGACTGGGGCAGTCTTTCTCGACTTGACATCAGCCTATGATACTATGATGAAGGCAGTGTTGAGAGGCATGACTGAATGTCCTGGGTTCGGTGGTGTAATGGTAGCACACCTGACCGGCAATCAGGAGGCCCGGGTTCAATTCCCGGCCGTCCCCTGGCTTTCTTTCGTCCTCTCTGGTCCAGCCAACCTCCCTACCTTCAGTACTTCCTCACGTGACAATACCATCTGGCATAATGGATTGCTGCACACGATGTCCTCTGTGCTCCCTTGTTGGGTAGTGCTGACTACTGAGTTGCTGCATAGGGGACGCAGGTTCAGAGTACAGCTCGGCTCCTCCATCAGCTCCTGGAGATTTCAGAATAATGGCCTCCTTCAAGGCTCAGTCCTGGCGCTGACTCTCTTCAATATCTTCAAAAACAGTCCACCTGAGACAGTCCCCAGAAAGTTCATACCATGTATATGCCGATGGCATCTGCATGGCTATTAGGAGAAAGGAATTGAACAGGATTGACGAAAGTCTGAACAGTGACATGTCTGAGATTGCTGCCTATTGCTAAAACCAAGGGTGAGAAAGACGGTCTGACGTTGTTTACCACCACGCCCAGAGCTCCCATGCTCTCAAGAGCTTTAAGAATGGGCAGAAACTGGCTGAACCCCAAGTCTGTTTACCTGCGTGTTACCCTAGACAGGACACTCACCTTCAAAGACCACCTGACAAAGACGGCACAGAAAGTTAAAAGTCAGAACTCGTTCCTTGGCAGGTTGGCAGGCTCTACGTGTGGTGCAAATTCCCAGACACTGCGCAGCTCTGGGTTGACCCTCTGTTACTCGATCAGAGAGTACTGCACCCCCGATTGGTTGAACTTTGCACATGTCAAGTAGGTGGATACACAGCTAAACCAGAGCATGCGGACGATCACAGGGTGCATGAGACCCACCAATCAGGCATGGCTCCCAGTTCTTGCCAACATCCCCCCTCCCAACATCCGACGCGAAGAGGCCCTGCGCAAGCTGCTATTCTCATTGCAACAGATGCCCCGACTCCCAATCCATAATGACATCTGGAATCCCCCCCACCCGGTCCTGAGACTGATTTCTAGACATCCCATCTGGATCTATTGTGTCATCTCAGAGATATGAGTGTTCAAAGATGTAACATTTAAATTAAATGCCCGATATATTATATTTTAAAAAAAGTACGGAATATTTTGATCACCCTTTGCAGTATCCTCGCAGACCAAAGGATCGCATACCTTTGCGGCCCGGGCAGAAGGGGATGTCGCAGTATTCCCATTCCGGAAATTTCAATTCTGGAAAGTTTCATCCGGAAACGAAACACCATGGCCGCGCTAACATCGTTGGATTCCGGCAATAGTTTAGGTCCTGTCGTTTAATTATTGCGTCCAAGTACTCTTTGTTTGGGGAGTCAAAAATGGTCCAATCGCCGCCAGAGAAAGTCGTGATAAAGCCGTCAAATAAGGAATATTCCCAATGTATGCATTCTTTTCCAGTTTGCGATTGGCTGCGGGTCCCTCTGTACTCCATCCCCATTGTCGTCATTCGGCATTCCACAACTCCCCCTGAAATGATATAGTGGGGCGCATACGTCATGTTGGCATCTGCCGAAGCATCCAAAGAAATCATCAGTCATCGGATTCATTTTAACGAATGTGGACCGGAACCGATCGGTTAAGATGTTCGAGTCGTAAGACGAAAGGGAAAATACATTCTGTTTCAAAAGTCATTTGAATTATTCTATTGATGAGGTATATGGTAACAATCGATTCGTTATCTCCTGTACAATTCAGTGCGACATGCATGCGGGACAAAATTATGTTTTAAACCCGTTAAAAACCCCTTAACAGGTTGGCTGTCTTTAGCCACACCGGTGCGCCCCATCTATTTTCCTTTTTTGCGCCTGAGGCTTCAGCAGTGAGCCTCAGTGCTGCAGTGGTTTTGTGAGGCCGTGGTCCAGGAATGTGAACTACTAGGTCTGTTCAAAAGGTATCCGGACTGGTGCGATTATAGACAGAATATGGTACTTACAGGGTTTTCGGCGTGATCTCCCTGAAAGTACCCTCCTGAAGTCACACACTTTGGCCAACTCTCCTGCCACTCTAAAACTTTTTTCGAAAACACTTTTTGGGATGACCACAAGCTGCACAAGCAATTTCTTTAAATGGTTTTGACATCATCGAATTGGTGTCCTTTCAGGGTCTTTTTGAGCTAAAATTTGGGCTAAACTTAAAAAAGTACGATATTTTTTTCGGACAGTGTACAATCCGGGGAACAGCTCAAACGCGTCACGTCTCAAACAGCTGGGACATGCAGAATAGAGAGGAAATGTTTGAATGTATGGTTCATTGGAAATGATGGAATGATAGATAACAAGGTTTAAAAATACCATTCACGTATGTATTTTCATTTTGAATTTTTCTTGGTAGTCAGCATTTTCCTTCACTCAAAACAGTTTGAAATATGTGTTCGGATAAAAAAAAGGCATTTTTGCAAATGCAAAATCACATCATCATAACATAATCTAATCTAACGTAACCTATCCTAACCTAATTTTTTCAATCCCTTCAGATGAAAGCAAAAGTATAATTTTATTACTTAGCAAAGGACACCCTTTTCAAATAATGAGCTGGAAGCTAATTCATTGAATTGGCGTTAACGGCCTAAATCCCATTATTTTCGGGAACATCCTTCCCTTGCTGTTGATGCTTAGCGAGGAATACGAGGTTGAATTTTGCTAAGGGAAGGAGTCGAAGAAAGGTAATAGACGCTGCCAAAATATCTTCATAACATCTCTCTCCCTCTCTCTCTCTATCCATCATAATCTCTTCTTTCCATAGTTCTGAATCCTTTGAAAATCCAGTCAAGAAAAGTTATGCTATCCACACCCCTTCTTGTCATTTCCCCATATGTTTTCTTCAGCTCACACTCATCTATGGGCGTGGTAGGTCCCATTACGTTTCTTCACCCTCTTCCGACGAAAAAATTTCACCTGTCTCTTCTTCGTTTTGGAGAAAATCAACAAGAAACAAATTTTGCATCCTCCTTTCTGTCTCATCACAGAATCCCTCTAGCAAATTTGAAGCTCCATTAGCCCGGAAGGGTTGAGATCGCATCAATCTCGTTTTCCGGAGATGTAAAATTCGTTGGGGTATTTTTTATTTTTATTTTTTTAAATATTATCATTATTTTTTAAACCGCTTTGGGGAGGCAGTCCCAGGAAGTTTTTGGAGAAAGTAAACAACCAAATGAAAGATGCTGACCTAGAGGTGACAAAAAGACTCCTTTATTTGCTAACATTGTACATTTTGCCATGGAAATGAAATTCAATGACGTTAATTTTGGCCTAGCACGATGGCTCCTGTCCCCTCCTTCAGTGTTGTCGGATACCCTACCATAGTTATGCCAAATTCAT